TTTTGTTCTTTGATGAAGGTTGTGCTAGTACTTGCACCAAGTGGGAGAATGTAAGATTTTCCCTAATAATATAGGAATAAGGGTCAAATAGGCCACTGAACTGCACACCAAAGTGCAATTAGGCCATCAAACTCAAAAATAATACAATTGGGTCCATAAACTACACAAAATCATGCAATTAGGTCTAAAATGACCTGTTGACCTGAAATTGTGCTGACGTGGCGGTTACCAATTTTAAAAATAAATTTTTAATATAATTTTAAATAAAATAATTAATTAAATTTTAAAAAAAAAAAAAACTAGAACTGCCGGAGACTTATCATCTCCGGCAGGCTTCGTCTCCATGGCCGGAGACGAAGCTCTTCGTCTCCGGCCATGGTCCATGGCCAGGGAGACGAACCTTCGTCTCCATGGCCGGAGACGAAGCTTTCGTCTCCGGCCATGGAGACGAAAGACTGCCGGAGACGAATCGTCTCCGGCAGTTTTAGTTTTTTTTTTTTTTAATTATATAATTTTAATTAATTATTTTATTTTAAAATATATTTATAAATTATTTTTAAAATTGGTAACCTGCATTTCAGGTAAACAAGTCATTTTGAACCTAATTGCATGATTTTGTGTAGTTCAGGGACCCAATTGCATTGTTTTTGAGTTCGATGGTCTAATTGCACTTTGGTGTGCAGTTCAGTGGCCAATTTGACCCTTATTCCAATAATATATATTATATATTATATATTAGGGTCTTAATTAAGTGGTGCAAGTTGACTAGGCTTATTAAGTGGTCAATCGTTATACCATACACCACGTTGCACGTAGGTCTATGCGCCTACGTGCAAAACGGTGGCGTTTTAATATTACTCCGTTAGTGGATATTTGACGGGACAGGCGCCTCTCCGTCCGTCCAATCACATTTAAATATATATATATATATATATATATATATATATATATATATATATATATATATATATATATATATATATATATATATCAAACCTTTCTTCTTCACGAAGCCTTCAATTACCACTCCCTGCAATTCAAAAACGATCACATTTTTTTTCGCGAACTACGCCAAAAACCGCAAAAACTTCACCACATTCTTCAGCAAAAGGGCATACAACATCGCAAAGATACAAGTAAGCATAACTACTATTACTTCTCATTCCAAACATTCATGCTATTACTTCATTGTGTTAATACAGCAACGATACCAAGGGTTACATATTACTTGGACTTGTGTATATTCTGGTATAAGATTATGTACATTACTGTTTTCAGGTCCTATGCCTTATCATTGATAACCGCTATTTTTATACTCCACATTATGTGTATTCCTGATATATGTTATGTGTATTCATGGTATATGTTATGTGTATCATTCATTATATTATGTACATTAGTGTTCTCAGTTGCTATACCTCATCATAGATAGTCATTATTCTTCTATTCCAAAATTATGTGTATCCTGGTTATATGTTATGTGTATTTCTTCATAGCATTATGTACATTACACATTTGCATCCCTGCAAACTTCTCAATCCCAGTATATTGTCTGTCTGGTGTTAATATTAGTGTTACCTAATACGTAAAACTGTTATTATGTGTATTATGTTATTATGTCAACTAGGGTTACATATTACTTATACTTGTGTTTATTCTGATATAATATTAAGTACATTAATGTTCTCAGTTCCTATACCTCATCATAGATAACCATTTTTCTTATATTCAACATTATGTGTATCCTAGTTATATATTATGTGTATTCATTCATTAGATTATGTACATTGTATATTTGCACCCCTGTAAAATTCTCAATCCCAATCTACTGCCTATTTGGTGTTAATATTAGTGTTACGTATTCCTTATATTTGTATTTATGTGTATTGTGTTGTTACAGATATGTCAACCCCTACACCCACTAATCCCCGGAGATCTCCCAGAAAAAAGAATGTTGCACCTACATCAACACCTACAACCACGTCTGATCCTACACTACTACAAATTGCCAGAGAGGGTAAACGAAAGAAAAATACCGCTGCTTCGTCAAAGGGTGCTGAAACATGTTCTGAATCACCAAATGTTGAAACCAGTACAAATGCCGGTGATGCCCCCAAACAGCCTGCTGCCAAAAAACAAAAGAAAACCCATGCCAGTGCAGCTGCTGAACCTGCCAAAAAACAAAAGAAAACCCATGCCAGTGCAGCTGCTGAACCTGCCGAAGCCCCAAAGAGCATAAGAAGTAATGAAAAACAGAAGAGGAGAAAACCAAGAAACAATGATTATTTATCTGTACGGACCTCCCCAAAGCAGCTCTGTGCACTCATCAGTAGTCTGAGCCCAGAACAGCACCAAGCTGTTCGAGATATGGGATTTGGATCACTTTTAAATGCAACACTGTCCTTGTATGATTGTGAACTTCTGAGATACCTTCTTGAGCGCTTTGATGTTGGTAGATGCTCAATACATCTGGAAGAGGAGGAGCTCCTTCTAGGAGATGATGATGTACAGAAAACACTTGGCATCCCCAGAGGCCAACAGACTGTTGTGGAGGCTGAAATAACAAGCAAAGACCCACAGTTCACTGGCTTGGTTGCACTTTGGAGACAGCGGTGGGGAGTGAAGACAGGCACACCAACTACAAGCCAGATGCTGAATGGCATTATTGAGAGGCGTGATCATGGAGACATGTTCAAACGTGACTTCATAATCTATGTTGTTTCCACATTGATAAGAGGCTTCAAGAACATGTTCTGCAACTACAGGCTCCTGTATTCACTGCAAGATGTCAGCAAGATCCAAGACTTCAACTGGTGTGCTTACACGATACGATCTCTTGTTGACACCACCACAACATGGAGGGGCAAACGTGATGCAGCCTTCACTGGTCCTGCAACTTTCCTGATGGTATGCACTCTGTATATTGACCTATAACCTTATGTGTATTCATGATATACATTATGTACACTGTAGACTATAATTATGTACATCTTTTAATAACTTTATGTGTATCCTACTCTACCAACCTAAACATAAACTGATACTGATTTTGAATGGTTTATCTTCTTCTTTTTGTTTCTCTATTTGAAGTTGGCATACCTAGACAAAGTGCAGGTTAGAGGAGAAATAGTCAGAAAGAGAATTCCCACCATCACTTCATGGACTTCAAATGATTTGAGGGCAAGGGTCAAGGTTGAAAGAGACATAGGCGGCTTTGGAAAGGGCAAAGTCGTTGAATATATCCCAGATGCACATCAGCCACCACCTCCTCAACTGCCACCACCCCGTGAACTGCCACAAGGTCAGGAAGTTGAAAAGGTCACCACCGCATTGAAAAAGATGACCACGAGCATTATGGAGTTCGGTGAGGTCATGGCAGATGTTGGGGCAAACACCTCTGTTGTTGAGATTATAAAAAATGTGTTCAGCAACTTATCCGCCACTGCCAACCTCACCCCAAGCCCGAATCCAACCCCACCGGAAAACTTACTGCGAGATGATGATATCTACAACCAACCTAGTTTCTTGGATGCGGTTGCTGAACTTGAAGCGGCATTCCTGGCAACATTGAAGAACATGACAACTACTGACATACCCGCACCAACTTTTAATCTCCTGACGCCAACTAGCCATGACGCTACTCCCAAAGAGGCCCCAAGAAATGCAACTCCACCTGAAACAACACCACCTCCGCCCAAACCCACATCTGAACCCCGAGCAGCAACTCTATCAGCATCACCCACCACACCACCACCACAAACAACCAAAGGAAACACAGCAGCAGCAGCACTTACCTCAATTGCAACACTCTTGGAGAATATCATTGATGACATAGCTGATGGTTCACCCCAATCACTACCATCAACTGAACAGAAAACTTCAGAACAAATTGAATTTGATAGGTAAAACTCACATATCACTTAACAGTATCCTTATGTGCATTTATCCTTGTTAATTATTTAATCATGTTGTTATGCCTACTGCTTAACACATTAAAACATGTTCCTAATTACTTTTCTGTCTCTACAAAGCATCATTGCTGAATCTGAAGATGATGTTGAAGATGTCAATGTCCGGAAGAGGCCACAGCGAAAGTTCAAAAACCTCCCTCTGGCTTGTCGATCCCCGTACTGGACAAGCAACATTTCAAAGCTCAAGAATGTTTCCGCCAGGGAAAAACTGATCTCAGACTATGCATTCCTGCCATCAGATGAAACTGAGTACCCGTATTAGTATGTATTTCATTTATAACTTGTTATAACAGATGCTTTCAGTTGATATACCACATTATGTGTATTCATGATATTTGTTATGTGTATTCATGATATATGTTATGTGTATTCATTCATAATATTATGTACATTGGTGTTCTCAATTGATATACCACATTATGTGTATTCCTGATATATGTTATGTGTATTCATGGTATATGTTGTGTGTATTCATTCATGATATTATGTACATTGGTGTTCTCAGTTGATATACCACATTATGTGTATTCCTGATATATGTTATGTGTATTCATGGTATATGTTATGTGTATTCATTCATGATATTATGTACATTGGTGTCCTGGTTATATGTTACGTGTATTACTTCATGACATTATATTACTTTAAATTATGAAATGTTTATTTTGTAATATCAACTTGTTTTCGTTTGTTTCCAGTGAAATGTTGTTTTCTGCCCATGATCTGTTTGCAACGAGGGAGGACATTGCAACATTGGCAAATGGACAACTAGCTACAAATATCCTGCAAATCTGGGCACACAGATTGACGGTGCTTGATATGAAAAGATCAATTGATCAACCAAAAAGGATCTTCTTCTCGGAAGCTGCTTACGTAAGTACACATCTACAACTAACGCATTTTTTAAAACAATGTACTATATGACACACAACCTCTTCTTTGCAGATGACGCTTGAAAATGTTGAAATAAAAGCAAGGAATATGGATATAGGTGACTTCTGTGCAAATATTGAGTACCAGTTGAGGGGAACTGCAATTGATATCACAGATGCAAGTCTTGTAAGTAAAAAAAAAAAAAAAAAAAAAAAAATATATATATATATATATATATATATATATATATATATATATATATATATATATATATATATATATGAATTCTAAGATTATTGAATTTATGTATGTATTTGACACAATTTGTTAAATACCTTTTAATTATTCATTTCAGGTTTTCTTTACAATCTTGAGGCACAATCACTACTACTTGATGTGCTTTAACATCCCCAAGTCAAAACTTCAGATCATTGATAACAAGCTAATGCCCAAGGGAATACCAAATACGAACAGATATGAGAACTGCCCGGCTAAGTTGGTAAGATAAACTAATACTCCTATTAAATATCTATACACTATAGTTTAATATTTACATTACTTAAATTAATTAAACACTGCAATTACTATAATGTGCAGAAAACAGCTTTCTACAAATACCTCCAATCGAAGAAAAACACCCTTGCAAGAAAAGTGAAGAATATCGAAGCTGAGTGCATTCACATGCCATGGCAAGATGAAGAGAACACAACAGATTGTGGTGTGTATTGCATGCGCCACATGGAAACTTACAAAGGGACTGCAGTAGACAAATGGGAAACAGGTTTCGTAGGGGGTGATAGTGATGTAAGTAATAATCAACTTTGTTCTACATTACACATGTTATCTCTTGTTTCTTCTAATTTTAACATGTATCTTTTGTTTACTGTAGGCTGCTTTCATTACATCGCTTAGAGCAAAATATGCAGCAAACATCATCATGTGGAAGAAAAACGAATACATGGAAACAGTCATGCAATCAGCAAGGGACAACTACAAGAAAGAGAAGTGAAACTACTAACCACAATCTGTAAAAATCAGTTCTGCTAATCCAAACACATGGTTACTTGTATTTTTGGTTCAATTTCTAGAAGTTTCAGTTGATAAACAATTATCAAAAATTTGTATATGCTCATTTTGGTAATCCAATCTAATGTTTACTTGTATTCTATATTTTTCATATTCCCCAATATGGTTTTGTGCATAATCAATGCATATACTACAAAAACTGTGAACTATCAAAAATTATACATAATCATATGAAGTAATACACATAACCCATATAATGAATACACATAAACTTTCAAACAGTGCACATACTACTAAAAAAAGTCTAACAAATATTTTGTTTCTGCTAATATATATAATCAAACATCCTACTGAATGTAAACATGTACATAATACACATATGACCAAGCATATCATTTCCCTATACTGATAACTGCAAATCTAAAAAAGAAATGTACATGAATAAATAAAAGTAATTAACACAAATAAAAATGTACATAATCATATGAAGTAATACACATAAAGTATATAAGGAATACACATAAAGTATATAATTAATACACATAAACTTTTAAAACAGCACATATCATAATAAAAGTCTATTTTATTACTGCTGAGTTATGTGATTTAACATCGTTCTGTACGTGATACATATTACTACGATGATTAACACTAACATGTGCTTTAATTATCATCCATGCTTGACATTGTGCTAACGTGACAAAAACTAGAACCTCCGGAACTTGGGTGCACAAGATATCCATCGCCTGCAATATTTAAAATATCACCCTCAACTTGAGACTGAACAGCAGATTTTATTTTGGAAGCAACCATATTTGCAAGATGCTTCCGTCCCCTTGCTTTATTATATTTCTTTGAAATAACACTGCTCACCCTCCTATTCCGCAACCCTTTCATCCGCCTAGTAGATGGATCCTTTATAACACCACTTGTCAATCCTATGTCACAATCTTCAAATAAACTGCCACCACATTCAGCTTCAAGTCTTCTCTTTGCATCTGCAATTGCTTCTTCACAAATCTTCCGTCCTTCGATATTTTCCTGACTATAAACAGCAAGCCTCTGAAATTTCCTAATGATTTCTAATAACCAAACAGAAGATGCACCATTACCACTATCAACTCTAGACATTATATCAACATTATCAACTTCAACAACTTTTTTAGTCCACCTCTTCAAAATATACTTCTCGGGGACTTCAGAAACACAATGCACATTTAGAATGCGTAAACAATGACAACACAAAATCCCCAATTCAGTAAACAACTTGCAACTACATCCAATGTCCATTTGTCTACTGTTAAACACCACTTCATGCCTAATAATATCAACATCAGGCCTCCAGACATGATACTTATACACACCATCTTCCAACATCACACACTCTTGATAGCATGATCCACCTTTCAAAAATTGTTCTTCAAACAAATAGTATATCTCAATTGTATAAATTTCCCTAGCATGCAACAGAATCTTAACATTATCCATCACCATTGTGGGTACACCTTGTGAACACCGAACATCTTCCCCATTCTCTCTACTTCTCCACTCTGATATGACCCCAACAAAAGAGTTATAAAAATCACACAAACCAGATGTCTTGGACAACCTTCTATAAATAGAGTGATTGGTGGTCTCACTCCTTTGAGAAGATAAAATCCCACCCGAAAAATATTCTTTATTAAAAGCAGGACACCATTTTTCTCTACACCCATACAACTTTTCAATCCAGTGATTATTGTGACATTTATATGTTGTAACCATCCTGAAATAACATGCCATAGATATATTAAAGTAAACCTACAAGCATGTCAGTATATAACATACAGAACAGACTAATGTACATAATCTTATACATGAATACACATAAACTATCAAACAGATACACATAAACTTGATCCAGAAAAATAATTCTGTATTCTGTATAATATAATCTACAACTATTCATTCAATGATAATCCATGTGTAAACTAATAATAAAAACAAACAAAAAAAAAAACAAAATAACGAAGCATACATCAGACACGTACCTCGTCCAGTAAAATTCAAACTCCGCCTCTGTATCCGTATACTTCAACAAGCAATTGAATATATCTAGGAAATCTTTTTGATTTCTTAACCCTTTAATGTGCTTCTTTGAGTTCTCGCCAATATGCCATATACATAGCCGATGTCGTGAACTTAGAAAAACTTGAACAATTGCAGCAGCCATAGCAGCACATTGATCAGTCATTATGCTTTGTGGACTTTTGTAATCCATAGATCTCAAAAATGTCTTAAACAACCATACAAATGACTCAATCTTCTCATTCATCAAAAAACCGCATCCAAACATAACATTCATGCAATGGTTATTCATGCCAACAAAAGGTCCACAAATCATGTCATATTTGTTAGTACGATATGTTGTATCGTGAACTAGCAAATCCCCGAACAAATCATAGTCTCTCATCATCTGTCCATCCCTCCAAAAAAAACTACACAACCTTGACTCCAAATCCACCTCAAAATCAAAATAAAAATCCCTTTCACTTGACTGCCTCCGTTTGAATATTTCAATCAATGTGTTTGAATCGGTACCATCCAATCTGTTCAATGCATCGGTACATAGAGAATTATATGCATCCCTACTTGTAAACCCAACAAGTGGTGATCCCCCTGATTGTGTTTTAAGTAATCTTACACCATCTGCAACAGACACACCACTGCTCTTCAAATCAGTAAGATATGATATATGATTCCTAGACACCATCCTATGTGACCTTAGAAGGTAACTCTTGCTTGGTGGAACCAATTCATGATTATGCAACTTCTCATGCTTCGAAACAATCCACATCCCATTCTCATGTAAATCGAATTGGACAAATGCACCACAACCTGTACGACCATCAATTTTAGAATAACACCATTTTCCTGTACTCCTTTTAAAACCATCCTTCGAACAATGGAACATCTTCGTTTTCATTGTTTTTGTAGCAGAACTATATCTTTGCTTACCCCTCCTCACGCTAAAACCTACTCTAAAGGCATAATCATTATACATGTCATATGCTTCATCAACCGAACACACTGACATCCCTACCAAATCCTGATCAGCTGCAAATAACATACATTTTAACTACCCATACTGTTAATGTACATAATCCATATCTACAATACACATAAACATATGGCACAATACACATAATCATTAAAATACATAAAACCTATATCGCATACTGTTAATGTACATAATCCATAACTACAATACACATACACATATGGCACAATCACATAATCATAAACCAAACAAATCAAACCATATAATATACGTACAACCTCACTGAAACAACAACTTCAAATCAAACCATACTAACATCCAAAACAACCACGATCAAACAGAAATTCTATATCAATTCTTATATAATTCAACACCGAGTTCAATATATTCATCATACATCAAACACAAATACAAAATAAAATCTTAAAAATCAAATACCTGGATTAGCATCCTCTGTATCTACCACTCCAACAGGATCAGTTGTATGCTCTGTCTCCGCCACATCCTGCTGTGCAATCGAATCAGACATGGCTTCCATCCAACAATTGCAGAATACGACGCAAATCGAACAATCAGGTAGCTCTCGTGTTCTCTAATCCAATATGCATGATCGGCGACGACATCATGTCTTTAGAGCCGCTCTCTCACTTCCCTCTTCTTACCGTTTGACGGCGTTAACAGACTAATAAAAAAAAAATCCGTTACATAACAATTCCATACGGCGTCGTTTTGATGCTGGGCGTACATAGCTCTATACACCGGGGTGTATGGTATAAATCTGGTTGGACTTAATAACTAGTAGTTGTTAGTCAACCAAACTCTGTGCCTAATATAACCTGGATTGATGGGATACAGGATTATGGATTAGATAGCACATTCAGTTACGGTACTCAGACTGCTCAGTAGATACCAATACACCATCTAGGGTTCTGAGTCAGGTCTGAGGCAAAACATGGCTGACGGTCTACCGTTAAGAGGCAACACAACAGGAACATCAACTATGGCTGGAGATCAACACGGCTACGCTTCCGCTATCATATGAGGTTAGGTTTCTCGTATACTATGGTTAGACTATTGTATATCTAACAAGTTTGACACTGCCCCTTTTGTTTCTTTATAACCACATTCCCCTACAATGAAAACAGAATCAATCTTAATCAGTTTCAATTTTGATTTTCTCAAACCTTTAAAATAAGATCTTTGAGCTGCTTTACTCGGTTTCCAACCAACAAACTTGGATGCAATGGGTACTTAGCAACTTCAATTCCTTACATAGCAGCAGCCATGAATGGAAACCTTATAACTGACCAAACTTGTGATTGATGAGCTGAACAATAAGTGACATGTGCCCCATCCACATCTGCTTCTTTCATAGCCACCCATTATATATGTGCAATCACAAACATTCCTTAAATTTTATTCTTTTATTTTTAATATTAATATTATTGTAATGTTAAAATAAATTAGGTAGGTTCAAACGCATTGGAAAAATTCATTTGACCTTTAAAAGAAATTTATTATAGAAAGTAGTTAAATGCATTTTAAGCAAATTATTATATCAACCATAACAAAAAGTACATTTTTAATATACTAAAAGTACATTATTCGTGTACTAAATGTACATTATACAAAATAATATACTTTCTGTATTCAAATACGGAGTAAAATATTTTCCCTGAATACAATGTACATTTTAATATATTAAAA